CATGTGGATGACTCTGCTTAACTTTTTTTTAAAAGCCTCTAAAAAAGTGCCCTCTGCAGGAGGAGGCGAGAGAACCATGTGCCTCCTTTTGTCTATCTTTATGATCACTTGAGCAGAGTTAAGCAAGGTTTAAAAGGCTAAAAATTCCTTATGCAAAGGAGGCACGTGGTTCTCTCGCCTCCTCCTGCAGAGGGCACTTTGTTTAGAGGCTTTAAAAAAAAAGTTAAGCAGAGTCATCCACGTGGTGACTCTAGCAGCAACTATCCTAGCCTGGTTAGAGCAGCTCTTGCCTTTTTCTTTTTACATTTTCATCATGGCGGACAAGAGGAAAGTTGAAATCCTCTGACACAGCTGGAAAAGGTATGTGGGTTGGAGGGAGGGGGTAGGGGGTAGGAGTTCAAAATTATTTGTAAGTAATTGTAATTTGTTTTATTATAAGTAATTTGTGTGTGTGTGTGTGTGTGTGTGTGTGTGTTTTACCTGCCTCTGCTGGTGCGTGGGCTGGCACTTTTTTATTTTTTATTTTTTAAAGCCATGCCGCCGCGTCTCACCATAGAGCAGGACACACTGGTTTCTGGCCATACAGCGGGTCCCATTGTATGGCTGGGGTGGCGACATGCACTTTAAAGTCCCAGCGCGCCTCCCGGCCATAAAGCAGGGCATGTTTCGCTCTATGGCGGGGCAAGGAGGCATGCACTTTAAAGTGCCAGCGTGCCTTCCGGCCATTCAGCAGGTCCCGCTATATGGCTGGGGAAGCAGCATGCACTTTAAACTGCCAGCACGCCTCCCGGCCATAAAGCAGGACATGTTTTGCTCTATGGCGGGCGCGGCACCATGCACTTTAAAGTGCCGGCATGCCTTCCGGCCATAAAGCAGGTCCTGCTGTATGGCCGGGGCGGCGGCATGCACTTTAAAGTGCCATGCGCCAGGCTGGGTGAGTCCTGGAAGACAGGCGGGAGATGGCACAGGCATCTGGATGCTCTCCTGTCACTGTCCCTGAGGAACCACCACCGCTGCCTCACTCCTCCTTGTCTTCACCGCACATCACTGGTTTCTTTGAAGGGTTTTACCCTTGCCTGCTTCCTAGGGCGGAGAAAGAGTGACTAGCTCAAGATCATCCAACTGGCTTTGGGTCTCAGGCAGGATTAGAATTCAGTCTCCTGATTTCTAGCCTGGGGCTTTAAGCACTACACCAAACTGGCTCTCTAATTTGATTTTAGCTATACTTTGTTATTCGTTGCATACTACTGGCATTAAGTAATATGCATATTTTAGATTCCAAAGAGGTCCTTTGGGGCATTTGGGGTTCCAAAGAGGTCCTTTGGGACATTTGGGGGTTCAAATACAGCATCTGCCAGCTCTTTAAAGCAACTGACTCTGAGAAGTGACGCAGCTGTTTTAGAGACCAGTAGGCAACCACTATGCCTATGTTCCCACACATTTCGAGTTAGATTTCTTGGAATTGAATTTAAAAAATGCCCAGCTCTATTAATTAGACCTTTTAAATAAATATGTGCAGCTCAGGATATATATTAGAAAATCAAGGAAATTTTTAGGTACTTTCTCTGATTCATCTAGAAAACAAAGAGTAAAAAGTTTTTAAAAAGTAATATAGTATGTTCATGTGTTGGCAACTTCTTTCTCCACAGTTGTCTGCAATCCTAGGAAAAGAAGAGTTTGCTTTAAAACTTGACAATAGATGCTAAGTGAATATTCCCACATGCCTATAAGCACTTTTTTCTGAATCACAATCATATGTATATGTACCCGCATAGTTTAAATAATCCCAGATTTTGATGAATATCATATAATTAGTTGTTGTATCAATTTATGTAGCAATTTCACAACTGCTAAATTAATAAAAAGAAATTTCAGTGCATACGCAGCTCCTTTATTAGGAATGCTTTTTTATTTGTGTGTAATTTAATATTGTCTACATGTTTTATACATCTACATATCTGCATGTTTTCTGCATGTTTTGTACTAACAATGATTTTTTGTGTCTTTTCTTTTGCTTCTTTGCTACCTGTCTGCTGCTATTTTTATGGATGTTTATGCTGGATGACTATCTTCCACACTTTAATCTAACCTTGTCATGTTGGGTGCTTTCAATAAATTGCTTGAAAGTGAGTGGGATTCAGATAGATTCAAGATCCAGAACTCAGATGTTCTCTGCTTCTTCTTATAAGGAGTACAGCAATGATAGCAATTCAGATTCCTCTTTTATTCCTGACAATGACATGGGCACAGTACAAAATTGTTTGCATGCTGATGAAGATTATCCTGCAGAGCATTTCACTGATGACATTGAAAAGTCTGTTCATCTTAATAAAGATGGCAGTATGACAGTTGAGATGCGAGTTCGGTTCAAGATTAAAAAAAAGGAAACGATAAAATGGACCACCACTGTTTCTCATGCTGGCACTCCAGCAGTCATTCCAGAAGTTCAAACATCTGATTTAAATAATCTGCCATATAAAAATCCCACAGAGGAGTTCAGCATTGCTGAAAATGATGTCCCAATGCAGCAAATCTGTACAAAAATGATCAATCAAAATCCTGCAAATCAATTGAAAACCAGCACTTATGACATCTGGCAGGATCAACTGATGAACACAGAGTCGAGGCAGGAAATAAAGAATGATCTTAAACTTAATTTCTGTAGGCCTCCTACTCCTGGGCCTAGAAAAGTCAGACAAAAGAAAGCGTTAGTTGAAAGTGTTACAGTGGTATCAGACACAAGTGTCCAAAAAAAAATGGTAGGTCAATTTTCTGTCAGTGAAGAAATGGACAATGGCAAAACCAAATCTAAGCACTGTATGATTACTCATGCTACCAGCCAAATAACAAATGTTACTCATCCCAAAATTAGTGGAGTATGCAATAACCATACACTGAATCAAACTCAGACTGACCAAGAGGAGAAACAAATGTTGAGCAAAAGCACAATTAAAAAGTCCTATGATCTGCCTGAAGAGGATGTATTATTACATAATGTTTTGGAGAAATCAGTTGTAGAGAAAGGGTTACCTAACAGTTTAACACCTGAAGGTTATTCTAGTATTGGACAAGGACAATCTTTGGTAAAGAGGAATAATATATCTATACCATGTTTATCTAATAAATGTGATGCTGTAGAACAGGAACTAAATTCCTTCACCAACCAATCAGAATGGTCTCAGTTAAAAACTAAAGAAATTATATATGACCAATGTGAAATACACCATTGTTCCTCATCATTGCCTCCTAAAAGCAATAATACAATTTGTAAATGTTGTCCAATGACTCCTAAGTTAACAGGATCTGATTATATTGCTTCTACGCTCTTCTCTGATGAAAGCCAAGCTACATCATCTAGTGACAAAAAGAAAAAGAAGAAGAAAAAGAATAAATTAGATATAGTGAAACAAAATGTGAGTTCCCCAAAGGACTCATATGACATTTCCATCCAAGGTACTACAGAGAAATATGTAAACACCTGCACAATTCACAACACAAGAGAGAAGATGAATCATTTTCCTACAGAGCTAGCAATTTATAAAAGAGAGCTTGCATTTCCTGTTGGAAACTCTGACGGTGCTATTAAAACCATAAACACCAGAGGTGATTTATATAGCCCGGTTTCAATTATATCCCAGCAGAATGATTTAGAAGATAACATAAATAAAAATCTAAATAGTCAGTTATCTCGCCAAAATAGCAAATCTATGAAAGCTGAAGATCTACTATTAATAAAGGATAACACAAAACATGAATTTGAACAGATTGAGGATGGGACATGTAAAGCTCTTAATAAAATAGAACGACCACCTACTTCACTAAAGCCTTTAAGTGATTCAGGAAATGGTCAGAAGGCAGAAGATAAAAAGGGAAAGATTATTTCAACTAAACTGATAAAATCATCATCAAAACACAAAGAAGTGAAAAAGAAGAAAAAATCTGAAAGTGCCACGGGTAGTATAGACAAGGTATTGGATGAAATGAAAGCGTTGGATACTTTGGGACATTCAGACTTTACAAATGAGATTACAAAACAGTCTCTTGAAAATTACATTCAAACCTGGTTGCAAAATGTATATCCAAAGGCTGAGAGCCCCCCCCAACACTTGGCTCCTATAAACTCAATTAACAAGAAATCACATCACCCGACAGTAAAATCATTCTTAGATAAAGGAAATAAAGAAACTGGGCGCAATAATATTCCTGAAGATCAACAGAAGAGTACGTTAAATAATCTCAGTGAAGTGCAAGCTTTGGAAGAATCATTTAAAGAATTATATGAAACACACAGAGATTGTTTAAGAAATGTTGATGGGATCTTGAAAGATGAAGACAAATATTTAATGCCATCAGATACTCAGGAAAAAGTGAAACTTTCCTTGTGTGATATCATACATAAATATAAAAAAAAGCTTCAGGAAGAAACTGATCATACCAGATGTAATTCTGAAATAAATGCTCAAGTTGATCCTGAATCTGTTCCAGCTACTGAGGCGGAGAAATATTGCAAAAATAGTCTTTTGCTACATAAATTGAAATCAGAAATTTTCAATCTTGAAAAAACCAAAACTGGATTCCTCCAAAATTTAAATTGTCTTTCAGATATTTTTTCTTCTCTCCTTGTATCTCCTTCCAATCTCCTGCTAGTTTGGCTTCTACTAAATCTGAAAGAATGTTTGCCCTTTATAAATAAAGATGAGAAGGTGGGAACTAGTTGCAGTTGTTCAGAAATCTCTATGCTTTCGCAATATTTGAAACAGGTTCTGGCTAAAGAAGAAGATGAAAAGTTAATGACAGCTGCTTCTGACATGCAGGATTGCACAGCAAACTCCTTAATATTTTCTGGGGTGCAATTAGAAAAACAGGAATTAACATATTGCCAAGAAAATATTGCTCTGATTGAAACTAAAAATATATCAGGCACTGAAGAACAAAAACAGCCAAATGAGAATTTGATCCTGAATGACAGTTTAAATTCTGGAGAAGTGTTAGATGTGAAAGAGGTAGCAGAAGAGTTACGGAGCAGCTATGAAGAACAGCAACCATACAGCCACCCAGCAGAACATTCAGATATGTATGAAATGGTTGTGATGCAAAATCTAAACTGCACAAAAGCACAGTCAGGAAATGTGTTTTCAAATGAAGACTTTCTTGAAGAAAATGAAGCCATTCCATTGCAAGAACTAGAGGAAAAAATCCCAGATCCATCATTAAATAATGAAAAACCCAAGCTGTTTGAAGAATTTAATATCCCCATTTTCAACACTAGTGATCATACTAATGGGCAGATTTTTGATCCAGAATCATCACAATTAGATGATGAAGAATTAAATAGCTCAGAAGAGCAAAAATATACAACACCAACATGTGAAAGTGAAGATTCCGATGAGAACCTTACTTTGACTATTAAAAACACTACAGATGAGAACCATGTAGAAAATTCTACAACGGATAATCTAGAGGAAAATGATTCTTCAGTGGAAACCTCAGAGAAATTTTCCATTACTTCACCACAACCTTTTGTTTATGAATCTAATCAAATTCCAATCAATACTGAGGATAAGAAATCCAGAGTGAAATTAATAATAAATAGACTTGAGTGTGGATCTCATTCAAATGCTTCTTCAGAGTTGAAAAAAACCATTGGAAGTCCTGGCACATCTGATTTGTCTGATTATCGACCAGAAACTGATGAAAGTGACAGCAGGTCTAGGCCGTCTAGTGATTTGTCTGATGAAAGTACAGATGAAGCAATATATGAAAAAAGCTACAACACAGGCTATGTAAAAAGAACTATTGAACGTCTTTATGGTAAATCAGAAACTGAATTTAAACCCATTTCCAAGCCTTGTTCTCCATATATGGGTCAGATACTATCCAAAGATACAGACGTTCCCTTACATGTCATCACTGATAAAATCCCCTTGTTTGGTCAAGCTCATAATGGATGGCCTGAGGATAAAGGAGCTTCTTCATTAATATCATACAATAAGTTTGATTTAAATACAATCAGCAATGAATATGCTATTTTGCCAACTCCTGCATTCAGCCTTAATGGGGAAGAAACATGTAACGCTGATTGTTCACTGCAAAATGCTAACCAACACAGTGAGTTTAAGGCCCAGATTGCTGAAGATGAAGGGATACTGATTGATAAAGGAAAATGGCTTCTTAAGGAAAACCATTTAATAAGAAAATCACCCCCTGACAACAGTGGGATGTATGGCAATAAGGATACAACATCAGCTGATACTTTTTTTGACAATCATAGTAGTGACATTCCATATTCTCATTTGCAGAATATGGAGCTAAGGTCAGCAATGAAAGAAATATCATCTTCTGATTTGGAATATATGGCAAAGCCTTGTGACAATGAAGGCAATTACTTCAACATGCCTCATGATAGTGATTCAGAGCCTTTTCCCCCTGTTCCAGGTATAAAATGCAATAACAGCCCAAATCAGAGGAAGGAATACAACACTTCTTCAGAATGTTGCATAGAGCTGAACAGCTATTCCCCAGCATTCTCAAAGGTCGATTTTAAATTACCTAACAATCGAATACACCCTCTAGATCAAATTACAGATGACGCACTAGTTCGGACCCAGCCAACTAGGAACGCCACTTCAAACAGGAATAGGCCTGAGACTCAAGATTCTTTAGATAGACTCCATGCTATTTGTGGACAACATTGTCCCATACTGACAGCTCTCATAAAGCCACTGAATGAGCAGATTAGAGGATGTGCTTATCAAAAAGCATCTGATATTGAGAATCTAATCTGGCTACCATACTTGATAAATAAATCCATAGGGAAAGATAAATGTATAATTAAACTCAGTAAAACCCATGATCAGCTGAAGATCAGCTGCATGAATAAGAGTTCAATTAACATTTTTGGAAGACATTACACTGACAACATCTTAGATATTACAAATTTTAATTTTAATAATTTTAAGTTACCTTTCTCTCTAAATTATCTCTATGATATCACAAATGTTAGTAAAGGAATGTTATTAAAGACAGAGGTATACAAGAATCATGAAAGTAGCAGAAGAAAAGATGATGATCTTGATGGGATAACTGTAGAATACAGAAATAATTTATCTAGCTATCAAAGCACAAGAAGTAATGCTAATCAATTTTTTTTGGGGGAAAGGACTTCTTCATTAGAACATTTTATAGCAAGTGGTCAAAATGAATATTTTCAAAGGAATTTCATAAAAGTGACTTACTGGGAAATAACTGTATATCTGAAAGATAGAAGTGTTCAGTCTTGGCAACTTTTATTAATATTTAAACAAAAACCATCATTCAAGAAAAATTATTTCGGGTTGCTTGTTTTTCTGAGTATTCTTACCTTTTCTGTAGAAAATGAAGACTTTTCACCCAAGAAGTTCAGGTAATAGTAAAATAAAGATATGTTGTTTTTGTCTATCTCAAGATTAAATGGCAAAACTCCATAATTTTATGAGCATTGAAGAAAAAGAGCTGTGAATAGATAGATAGATAGATAGATAGATAGATAGATAGATAGATAGATAGATAGATAGATAGATAGATAGATAGATAGATAGCTAGATGGATGGATGGATGGATGGATGGATGGATGGATGGATGGATGGATGGATGGTGGATGGACGGATGGACGGACGGACGGACGGACGGANAGATGGATGGATGGATGGATGGATGGATGGATGGATGGATGGATGGATGGTGGATGGACGGATGGACGGACGGACGGACGGACGGATGGACAGACAGACAGACAGACAGATAGATAGCTACAGTGGTGGGATTCAAATAATTTAACAACCAGTTCTCTGCCCTAATGATTTCTTCCAACAACCAGTTCACCAAACTGCTCAGAAACTTAACAACTGGTTCTACTGATGTGGTGCGAACTGGCTGAATCCCACCACTGGATAGATAGATGATATCCTAGTTGGCAAAGAGCAAGTAGCAGCTGAATTGATAGCTGAATAATGGATCCACTCAAACAAAAGACAAATCTTCAGTTTATCAACTTAACACTGCCATTTACAGCTTAAAACAATCTTGTTCTGCATTCCAGTAATATTTAATGTGCTACACGAGTATATATTAGTGCACATATATTTATAATATATTTAACTGTATAACTGTTGACCAAAATTCATCTCCTGTAAAATAAAATGAATTAATCCTCCCTCTGCAGAATACCAACCATTCTTTTTCTACACATAGAAATAAACTCTACACGCACTGTTTTTCCACTCCTTTGAGGAAGGAGGAGACAGAGAAAGAGAAAGAAGAAATGAATGGAGATGAGTTGAAGGGAAAGTATAGCAGCTGCCTTTGGAAAGCAAGAAAAAAACTAGAGAAGAAGAGCAGAACTAGATAGAAATTAGGTGATGGCAAGAGATAATTGAATAGAAGAAGAAAGGTGCTTAGGTATTGGCAGCTTTCTGAACTGTAATTAAATTCAGATGAAAAAGCAATGGTACAAGTATTCTAGCAAGTGAAATAATTTTCAAATTAGAACCATTATATATCAGTGATCATCAGGGAGAAGAGTTTCTGTGTCTTTTACTCATAAAATTACAATGCACCAGAGGGAAAGTGGTTTATTTTCCTTATAACTGGGAGTCTACAGTTGGTTCTTTACATAACTGATTAAATCTTAGTAGTAAAGAAACAACTCTTACAGGCATTAACTAAAAAAGGAGAAAATCAGAGTCAAATAGCCCTCACCGCTCATAAGGCAGATCTTCCAGTAGCCATGCTAATTTGAAATTCTTTCTCATTCCTTTGCTTTCAAAGCTATTCTTAATAGCAATTTTAAGAACCTCAATTCACAGTTAATTTTTGCAAAATATATCTGTATTTGCTGTTAGTAAGTATAATAATTTTTCTAATGAAACACGACATCCTTATTTTTTGGAAGTTCAAACTAAAGGGGGAAAAAGTAGTTACTAAGTTCTCTCTATCTTTCTCTCTACCTATGCAACTTTATTTTTTAAAAAAGTGATTATAGTCACTACAGAATAACTAGTGCAACCTAGGTAAAGAACAATGTTCCCATAAATTAAAAACATTTCAGAAACAAGCAATAACTCTTGGCATCATTGAAGTACACAAACCAAGCAAAATACTCTAAAACATCTTAAATAAACCAAAAGGCCCAATACCTCCACAAGAAGGAAAAAAGGCATCATTTACAATATTCAATGCAAGACTGCAATAGCCACTATAAAGGCGTATGGCAGAAGACTAGCAAAGGACATCCATAAACACCAACTAGCAGCCAGAAAACATGATGAAAATTCCTTAAATCTCACAACATATGGTAGATTCAATGACAGACAGACAGATAGAAATAGACAGTAACCCCGCATTCACTCATGCTGATGATGTTACTTAGTTAGGTAATGAAATGTTCTCAACCAGAGTACCTAGAACTCCACAGCTCATCCCTGAGTGACATACATTCTCTTTTATTACGCTATTTAAAATTTATTTTATGATATTCAAGATCAGAAACACTTGAAATACTTTGATATTTTGATTTTTATGGAGGTAGCCATTTTTGTTCTTCAGACATTAACTCCCTATATTCTTTGGCAATTCAATGAGATGCAAATTCTTTACCCTTTGTTCATATGAATCTTAAGAATAGCCCATCCAAAATAATATGTATTCTCCAAAGTTTCCTTTTAAACATTGAAGAAATATGGAGGGGGAATGGGATGGGGTCAATTAACATTCCTTGGAATAAAGAATAATCAATGATCAGGAGAATTAGCAAAGCATAATTTCTGAATTTTTATCAAAGCTAAGCAAATGAAAGAGAAGTCCATTCATGACTTTCCTTCAAGATCCGACAAATAATAGGCCCATGGAGCTAATCTATATTTATCAACTGGTCTCCATCTTCAGCCTTCACATAATCAACTAAAAACCTGCAGACATAGTGTTTTTGTTATGCCAGAAAAAATGCCATTCTTACTGATTTTTAAAAGTTAAATGTATGATTCTTACTAATATTCTTAAATAAATAAATTTCTAAAATTGAACAATTACCTGCATACACAGAACTAACATAAGCTGCAAATGGGTATTTATTTTATTTGCAAATTCTGAAAATATAGAAATATTTTGGACATTTGTGTATGGAACATTGTATTTCTACTCAATAAATTGTATATGATCTTGAAATACTAAAAACAATAGACCTGCTGAAACTTTCTCGAAATAGCACAACATCTGGTCATCTCCAAGATCTGCTCCAAAAGTTTCTCAGTTGTCTGGAACAGATTTGAAGATGAGAAGAAGCTGGATCAAGAAGAAAGAACTGTTCCTAGTAACTGAAGCTATTTCACCAGGAGAATTGCATCATGTTAAATACATCAGATAAAATGCATGCATGCACAAAATAGTGAATATTTACTTAAAGGCCAAATTACTATTCAGAATTCTAGTTTTATATTACAATAAATCTCCATACAGTAAACATGTTAGCAAGCATAGAGTGTGATTCTAAACAAAAAACAAAACAATCTAATCAAACACAGATTGCAGAATCGTGTAACTGAAACTATTTAAATGCACAAGGCAACTCAGAGAGGTTATCCTAGGGACCACCCCAGCTCCGATTGCTTCTCTCTGTCCAGTACAATTAAGCAGAGTGCATTTGCTAGGGATTCCATCCATTTAACAGGATCCATGATTGTAGGATGCAGAAAGTGTACAGTGCCTGCCCTCTTGAATGACATTCTCTCAGAGATTTGCACAGCTTCCATCTCCATGATATTTAGATAGCTGCTGTAAACCTGATTGTTTTCCTAAACCTTCTGGATGGGTTCGGGTAGGCGAAGCATTGTTATGTTTGTTTTTCCAGTCAGCTAAAGTTCTTTTTACTTATTTCTTCATAAGTTGGTTTTTATTTTTAAACTTCCCAGAGTCCTTATGAATTTGGCTACTGTAGCATCTAAATTTGTATGGATGGATGCATAGAAAGATACAGAGAGATAATAATTTTCATATCTCTCTGCCAATCCAATTATTTCTGGTTCATATTTACTGACAAGCCAATGGTAGCTATGTTTTTGTGTAAATAAAAATGTACATTCTGTTAAAACAATGTTTATCATTAAGCTGCAAATATAAAGGAATATCATTGGTTGAAAGACTCTGTCCCTATGATTCTGGAGACATGGAATCCTCTGGACATATCCTTCTTTGCTGCTCTTTTTATAGAGAAATCTGAGAAAAAAAATATTTTCCTATTAATTAATAGGCATCCTGGCCGTTCGGGTACTGTTTACCTTCAGTGGTTGCTTAAAGACAAACTTTGTAGTCACAGCACATATAGCTAGATTCTGCACAACAAGAAGTTCTCTGGAACTTGATGAATAAACCATTATAACCATTTTATACAATTAATGCACCAAATCTTTTGATATTATCACCCTGTTGTATTTATTAACTATAGGCTTCACAATTTAAAGATTAATGTCAAATTATAGCTTAGGCTGTGCTCTTGTTTACATGCAACTGATAGATAGGCTGCCAAATTATGATTTTAACATATGTTTTATTTGTTATTTGTTATTATTTTATTCTAAACTTTCAATTATGCTCTTTGAGTATTTTAAATTGCATTGGTATTTGATTGTAATAAATATTTTGAATTTGAATTTGAATATCATTAAACTTACTGCACAATAAAACTATGAACAATAAACTGAATTACTATTATGAAGCTGTGATATAACTGAATGAAGTAAAATAAAGAAATTCTGATTAATTTGAGTCCTAATTTGCTTGTGAGGTGAACAATCTAAATTGAAGGTCAATGTAAGGCTTGGTGACATTACAGGTAGCTGATTGTAGGAATGATTTTTATACATCAAGGTTGTCTTAATTTATTTTTTCAGCACCTGCTTTTGCAAGATGTAAATCATTACTGTTCTCAGTTTATGAAACAAAGATAAGAAAATATATTTTTAGAGGTTAACCATGTAGTTGACTTTATATGTGCAAATCTATATTTACTAGACCAAAATGAGGCTCCAGATGAGATTATTAGGGCACAATAGTAAACATGAATCAGATATCTGATCTTGTTGTCAGCATGGATTTGGTTTAATCATATAAAAATTGTAATTGAGTTGAGGTCTGGTGTACCATGGCAGATGCCCCCATAGCAAATATTCCTGTAATATGCAAAACAATCTGACCACTCACATTCTTCTTGGGGTCATTAATAGAAATTTCCTTTCACCATTTTTGACTCTATAATATTAAGATAGATTAGTAAACTAGATACGGTATTACTTCACTGATATGTATAATAAGAGGTTTATACAGTATATAACACTGTACAGGTACAAATCAAACTTACTTAGCAATGCATTGAGTATGTTCTATCCTACAGTTTTAATATGTATGGATTATGATGTCACTTTCCTTCCAGGAATTCAATGCAATATTCATAGAACCCCTTCCCCACTGTTTATCTTCACAATATAAAACTGGTGTATGTATGTGGGGATAGATTTGGCTGACCTAGTACTGGCTGACCAAGTTACTTGATAAACTTTATGGAATGGATTTGAATTTGGGTCACCATGGTCATAACACAGAACCTTAATAATTACACCAATTGCTGTAATTATACTGTAATAACTGAATATGCAGAGGGATGTTTTGAAGCCACTTGTTAGAATAGGAATTATTGACTAAAAAAAGAGAAAGATAAATAATAAGACGATCTGAAATCTAGAAAATGAGAAATTTGGATGTGGTTTAACTTATTTTTTTCTGAGTCTTATAGAGACAATTCTTATATTACAGAGGAACACTAGTGAGGGATTATTAATGTTTGGTTAGGGCTACAAAATCTGGTTGTAAAAATCAAGATGTTCTCTGGATCTTTACTTTTCTGCATCCTTTTGCTGCCATTTAGTGGACGTCCATTTTTTTGCAGAATCACCCTTTTTTTGCAGCCCAGATGTGAAAGGCCATTTTCTGTCTCATATTGCAAACTACAGTTATGAGAATAAATAGGGAAAGGTGCTTATTCCGAGTGGTGTTTCTGAAAAGCAGAAGCAAATTTCTTATTTATTAGAAAAGCAACAGTTTAGAATTGCTTAATAAAATCTGCATGTCAGCTGTACACGGTATAGATATATATTTCAGGGTACTTTGTATTAAGACAAGGAACTAAGAGGTACCAGTTAAATCTCCCAAGGATACAATTATTTTCTACCTTCAGAGAACCAGAAGAAGTACAAACTATTTGGAAGGAACAAAATATTCCTTTATCTTTGATATCAAAGATTCAGGTTTTGAAACAAGATTTTTTTTCTTTTTCTTTCTTTAATACTGCTCTGTTGAATTAACAAATGAACATAACACTGCATTTTAACAGTGAAGAAAATCCTTTATTAAAAAATAATTCTATGCAGATTTGTTGCTGCCATCAATAGTAATGCAAGTCATTATTGAGGCATAAATATCAGGACAAATGAACCAATAAAAAACTGCCTATCACAGACTTATTTCCTGAATAACTAAGAGAGAAGAAAAGAAGATGGGCCACAATTAAATATGACTGTTTTAAATTCCAGTCAGGTTTGTGGTAAAAGAGATTTATGTAAGGAAAACTGGTTTAATTTAACTGGTTTCAGATTCCTCTTCCAAAGGGTGAAAAAGGAGGAGAACAAAGAAAAGATCTTGCAAATTTTGTTTACTTTTAAGCATATATTCAGACGAATGCTTTATTGATACTCTACGCAATACCTGAATGCTGAGTAAGAAGACAGTGAACTTAAACTCCACCCTATTCTGCGTTTATATAGCTTGAACTGAAAATTACTTTCACTGAATCAACTTCTAAGAATTTGGTGTTCATTTTCAGCAGGTATTCATAAATATTTGGGATTTCTTGTTATTATGCTTTAGAGACACACTTTACATTATTTAATCTTATTTCCTAGTTATTGAAGGAGATATTGAATTTTTATATTTTTAAATGACATTGCCCTTAATTTTATTATTGTAAGAACTGCCATTTTAAATTAATGTATGCACTGTATTAAGGGATTAATATTATCACTCTTACTGTTGTTGTAAATATAATTCAGATATGTAATCCACAAACTCCAGGAAGTATATTTTTAGTGTATATTATTTTTACAAACTGTCTATTAATGTCACATTGTTATAATTGTTTTAAACAGTTTTTCATCTGTTTAAAAAGCTGTAAGCAGTATACCAAATAAAATAAAAGCAATCTTCAATACATACCATTAAATAAAACAGTCAATAATAAACCAGCTGCTATAAACCAAGATGTGCCTAGAGGTGTAATAAAACATTAAAGAAAAAGGTTAAGTAATTTGAAGTTCAGGTCTCTTAGAACTGACAGGGAAGAGCTGATCTCACAGGGATTCCCAGTGAGCAACATAGTTTTAAATAACTTTTTATGTTTCTGTAGCTATGAAATGGAAGGTAGTAATTTTTACCAGTGACCAGCCATCTTCAGGAACGAGCTCGCAAGTTTATATTACTTTATATGGGGAGCAAGGCAATTCAGGAGCTGTCTTTCTATATGGGGAAGAGAAAAAAGTCTTTGAAAGAGGAAGCAAAGATACTTTCATGGTAAGATATTTATTATAACAAGAATTTAGAATAATGCCATTTAATTAAAATTTCTTATTTGCTTAATATCAGTGATATGTGACTATCTGTGGGAAACAGTATCATTTCATATCATTGTGTCATTTTCTGTTTTCAACTACCACAAGACTTGAGCCAAGTAATTCTATTTAAATTATATTTATTGCAATAATAGCAACAGCATTTAGGCTTATATACCTCTTCACAGTGCTTTACTGCCCTTTCTAAGTAGTTTACAGAGTCAGCATATTTCCCCAACAATCTGGGTTTTCATTTTACTGAACTTGGAAGGATGGAAGGCTGAATCAACCTTGAGCTGGTCAGGATCAAACTCCTGGCAGTGGGCAAAATCAGCCTGCAACACTGCATTCTAAACACTCTTCATAATAATGTAGCTACTTCAGTTTGTAATACAACTCAACAACAGCTACAATGAATACAATTTCTGTTACTGTTTTTACTCTTTGATCCTTAGCTTGGTATTTACTTGAGAAGAATGTATAAACAAATTGGTAGGACTCATTCAAATGACTGGTTTTTCTTGCTTGTGTGACAGCTAATTCTCATATGGCAAAAAATACAGCTTGATATCAGTCTGTCTGTTACCAAAAGAAGAAAGAGATGGTAACTGCCTTCTGCTCAAAAGAATGGGGCATCAGGGCCAATGCAGAAATCATTTCAGACTTTTATTTTACTGTAAATAGTGATTATAGTTTATATACAACAGTAACTGGAAGTATATCATAATGCCTAATAAGTTTTTTTAAAAAAAATAAGACTACTTATCTGAACTTAAGTATGCTTCAACATCTATTTTAGATGTTTTCTTTCTTTCTTTCTTTCTTTCTTTCTTTCTTTCTTTCTTTCTTTCTTTCTTTCTTT